ATGCTGCTCTTCTTTCTGGCTGCGGGTTGGCGCTCTCCTTCCTAGATTTCCAGGGAGAGGGAACCGCGGGGCGAGAGCCCTTTTGCCCTCCGTCTCCAGTCTCCCACTCCGGCGGCCACACGTCACAGTGCTGTTTGCAGGGTGGTCCCCGCTCTGCCGCGTGGAGGCATGCCCCAGTGTCCACCTCCCCTGGTGGGCCGCTGGCTCATCCCCAGGTTTGGCCGGAGGAAGGAAGCTGGCCTGACCCTCCACGTCCATCGCCCGTGCTCCTGGCTCTGGAAGGTTCAGTGGATGAACCTGGATTTGCTCAGGAATCTTCCGTCGTGGCATCAGGGCTGTTTCTCCCACGTTCGCGCTGAAAATCAGCCATCGAAGCGCATCTCTGTCCTTAAGGGGCGGTTGCCCACAGCAGTGACCACCTCCATGGCCCTCGGGCCTCTTAGCCCGCCCGCGGCTGGGCCGTTCTTGCCTGACCACCTCACCTGGCTTTGGGAGTGGGGGCAGGGTGTGTATAAGGCTCCTCCCCTCCCCTCGCCTGCACTTGGTGATCTGGAAGCTCCTGGCCAATTTGAAATCAGGGCCCTCCCCATTTCTTTAGCCTCCCACACAGAGCTGGCCCGGATGGGGCCACTGGCTCCCTTTCTGCCCTGACACACCCGTGAAGGGGCCGGGCCCCTCACTTCCACACCCCCAGCCACAGCCCCTCCCTCCTTCACAGAAAGTGCCCTAACCGACTCATTCGGGCTGTGTGTCCTGGGGACAGTGGCAGCTGGGACAGGCCCCTCCCAGGACGGGGAGCCCATGGCTGGGAGGTGAGCATCCTGTAGACCGGTGCGGGCTGGGGGAGGGGCTGGGCAGGGGCCACGCAGGGGCCACCCTGCTCCCGGATTCTCCCCGTCCCTGCGTCCCTGCCGGTCCAGGGCACGGAGCTTAAAGCAGTGGTCGGCAAACTCATTCGTCAGCAGAGCCAAATATCAACAGGACGACGATTGAGATTTCTTCTGAGGCCAATTTTTTAAAACTTAAACTATATAGGTAGGTACATTGTTATTGACTTCATTAGGGTCCTCCTAAGGCTTAGGAAGAGCCACACTCAAGGGGCCAAAGAGCCGCAGTTTGCCGACCACGGGCTTAAAGGATGCCCTGGTCCAAGCTCTGCCTCTGGACACAGGAGCCTGGGGAGGGCGCTGCCGAGCGAGCCGTTCTCAGAGCCTCACTTTCCTCACCTGGAAGATTCTGGAACCCGGTGCCTACCCTTGACCTAGCTCCTCCTGCAGAGATCTCTGTGTCCCCAGACTAGTCCTCCGGCTGGGAACTGGCAGAGCTGCATTCCAGGCCTCCTGGCACTGGATAAGAGGTGAGGTGTGGGAGGGAATGCCAGGGACCGGCCTTCCCCTCCGTCTGGGCTCCATCAGCCCATGTTAGAGGTGACATCAAGGCTCAGGGAGTCGCTTCCACGTGGCCCCTTGCTCTCGTGGTGTCTGGAGGGATGGGAGGACAGCAGGGGATGGGCGGCGGGGCACCCAGAGGCAGCCCTGCCCCTCACCCCCTCCTTCCCACAGATGGGCGGGCCGGGGCCCCTGGGGGAGAAGGTCTCCATCGCCCAGCTGCT